CCTGCATGATGTCACTGGTGATGTTAATCTTCATCATTTGGTTAATGATGGTGTTTGTCATGTTTCTCCAGTGTACAGTAACTATTTTTCATGTACCTAGAGAGCATATGGAGAGAAGAAGGAAAACACACATTTCTAATTTCACTGTGAGTCAGTTCATTTCTATGTGGTGGAATGAGCACCCTGATGGGCCTGGGGGGAAGGGAAGAAAGTGGTTTTACCATCTCCATCCAACTGAGTCATGGACCCCATGAATGGAGTTTGGGGTACAGGGATGAAGTCATCACTCACCCCATTTCTTACTGTTTCATAGTTTTTCCTACCTCCTGTTTCCCCCTACCCTGTTGTGTATGACAGAAATGTGTTTCCTTTGCACTCCAGAGGGGCTTAATGAAAACCTCATACTATGTCTGCTGGACAGGACACTGGAGCAAGGATACTGGAGAGCTCTCTGCATCCTGGCACAAAATCCAAACCAGTAACTCTGGGACGTTCTTGACTCAGGGGTAAGTCACTTCTCCTGCTTGCCTCTCTTGGAGAGTGCATATTTCTGTTATGTGGGAGCTTCATTGCTTTGTGGTGGAGTGATGCTGAGGCACACAGAAGCAGGTGGAGATGGAGCACCTGGTGGGTGAGCCAACACCCAGGGCACAGGCTCCAGGACTTGTGCTGCTTGATCCACCCTTCTCATGGTCTGGGTCTTCCCATCTTTCGGTCCTCTCTCCGAGTAGCTTGGATTCCTGTTACATCCCATACTGTCACAAAGAGCAGGGGACAAATGGGGTGGGGAAGGGAGCAAATACAGAGAGAGGTAGAAGTGATCCCTGGAGGGCCTGCTGTTTTCTGTTCTCTTCCCTGTTCTTTCTTGTTTCACATGTTTCTTTATTTCACCCCACAGTTAACCTCAGAAACCTGGTAATCCATATGACCCCACAGCTATGCCTCATGGCCCAGAGGGCCAGATTTCATCTCCACAGTCGTCTTCCTCAATGTGAAGGGCTATTGAGTGAGTACCCTTAGGGCACAATACTAGGGAAGTGTAAAATTATCATCTTCCAAATGGGAAGCTGCTGGTTCCATTGTTGGGGGTGAGGGGCAAGAGATGGAACCTCATTGCCATTCTGCCACTTATCTGGAGAGGGTCTTAGTCTCTGTGAGCCAGAGCTTGATCATCTGTGAGATGGGACTCACCATACTTTCTTCACACCACTCTCCTGATGGGTAAATGGAATAAACTATATATTTTTATTCCACTATCTTAGTCTGTTTAGTATTGTTATAAAGGAATATCTGAGGCTGCATACCTTATAAAGAAAAAAACAAAACAAAACATAATAAAATCGTTATGTGGCTAACAATTTTGATGGTTGGAAAGTTCAAGATTGGGCATCTGCTTCTGATGAGGGCCTCAGGAAGCTTCCACTCACAATGGAAGGCCAAGGGGAGCTGGCTTATGCAGAGATCGTATGATGGGAGAGGGAAAAGAGATGAGAGGTGCTGGGCTCTTTTCAACAACCAGCTCTTGTGGGAACTAATAGAGCAAGCACTCACTCATCACAGCAAGGATTTACCTTTCATGAAGGATCTACCCCCATGACCCAAACACTTCCTGTTAGGCTCCACCTCCAACATTGGGGATCAAATTTCAACATGAGGTTTGGAGGAGACAAACATCCAAACCGTAGCAAACACTTACTGAATTTTTTTCTTCTAAAAATGTTGTTTCTGAGATGTCTCTAATAAGGTGGCTTTGGGGCTGTTTTGATATTTTGGCCATGCTGCCATGACCATTCTTGCACACATGCCAGAGACTCTGCAGTGCAGACTTGAGAGGACAGCAGTTGATGGGGCCATGCTTGCTTCTTTCATACATGTTGCCGAGTGTATCTGCAAAGATACTCTGTACCGTTTTGTCCTCCTGCAGCAGTGTATAGGATTTTTATGACTCCACAATTTCAATTTAAACAGGACACAGCATAGATACAAACTCACTTATCAGGTTTTCTTATCAAATTCTAGAATTATTCCAGGACATATTCTGAGGCATAAAGTAGGACTGTTATGTTTGTGTTTAGAAATGCACATGTGAAATATGGCATTTATGTGGATATCGATGGAAAAAAATGAAAAGTATTTTAACATTATAGTGATAGGATATAAAAGTAGCAAATATTAATAAAGTTGGGAAATCCGTTATTGCACAAATCTAGAGAAACAGGTGCTCTCATCTTGTAGTTGGTTGGGATATTCATTAGTAAAGAGATTTTAACTTTCAACTAGACAGTATATACTAAAAATAGTCATGCTCTTTGACAAAAAAATAATCATTTGTGGAAACATATTCTCCAGATACAGCCTCCCAGGCTCATGTGTCCCTATTGCTGAGGGCTGAGCTGACCATTTCCCTAGCTGATTTGTTACCTTCAGCCCCAGCCCCATTCCCAACCCTGAGCCATCTATCCTTCCAACCAAACAGGAGAATCTGTCTCATGGCTGAATGCCCAGCCTTGATGAACCATATACAGAGCTTCTCCAAATTGACATGGAGCAATGCTCAGGTCCCTACTCCCGTCGGGACCTGTAGACCTCTGACCTCATCCCTGTGTTGGAGAAATCTCTCTTCTTCTCCCTTCTCTGTGTCCTCAGGACCCTTCCCCTCCCTGCCAAGTACAAGCAGTCCAATCCTTTCCTTAAGTTTAAGTTTTCACACAGGATGAAGCAAACACTGGCTTCAGACAGCTTCTGCTTCCAGCCCTGCTATAAACCTTCCTTGAGACAGGGGGAAACAGGCCCAAGCCTTTTTTTTTTTTTTTTTTCTGGAAATGCAGGGAGGGTGATATGGTTTGGCTTTGTGTCCCCATCCAAGTCTCGTCTTGAATTGTAATCCCCAGGTGTTGAGGGAGGAATGTGTTGGGAGGTGATTGGATCATGGGGGTGGTTCCCCCCATGCTGTTCTGATGATAGTGAGTGAGTTCTCACGTGATCTGATGGTTTTATAAGTGTTTGGCACTTTCCTCTTCACACACTCTCTTTTCTTGCCGCCTTGTGAAGAAGGTACTTGCTTCTCCTTAACATATCTCCATGATTGTAAGTTTCCTATGGCCCCCCCACACATCCGCCCAGCCATGTGTAACTGTGAGTTAATTAAACCTTTTTCCTTTAAATTACCTAGTCTTAGGGAAGTTCTTCACAGTAGTGTGAAAACGGACTAATACAGAGGGTAAACACAAGGAGAACAGATATTAAACTCCTTAACAATATATGTCCTGATGCTAAAGATCTGCCACCAGCAACTCAAGGTGCCTAGACTGGCACGTTCTGGCAGTGGGCGTGCTGAGCAACCTCTTTTCCATCCAGCTCTGTGGTTAGGAGCATGTGCTTTGTAGTCACAGACATCTGTGAAGAAGAAAGGATACTAGTACCTCACTAGCAGGGCTGTCATGAGATCGAATCCAGACACTAACATAAAGAACCTGGAGCTGGGCCCCTCTAAACACTCTGCTCCATAAGTAGAAGTTATCTTTCCTCTTTGGAACAGAAATTCATATGTCAATTTCACCTGCCCCTGCGACAGCATGGGCCCCTTAACCAGCATGCACATCAGAGTCGCCTTGATGAGCCTTTTCTAAACCCTCAGTTGAAACCCCCTTGTTGGTAGAAATAGGACTTCTGTACAAAGTCATTCGGCTGTAATAATATGGGCCTCAGAAAATGGATACCTCGATGTGGCACCAATAGTGTATATGAAAGTCTGTTTCTCCTTTATTTCACCAACGTAGGTATTACCAGCTTTTGTCTTTTTTTTAAAAAAATCTGATCTGCTCATTGTCACACGACCTGCCCTGACTTATTGGGAAGGTCATCTCAGATGGTCATTAAACTTACATATTCAGAGGCTCTTCTCCTAAGGTTTCCAGATTTAGCAAATAAAAATACAAAATGCCCAGTTGTATTCAAATAAAAATTGCATGTCACATTCACAGAAACAGAACCAATGTAATGTGTGTATACACACATACACACACACACACATGTATATGGTGAGAGAGAGAGACTAATTTTCAAGAATTGGCTCACATGACTATGGAGGATGAAAGTCTAAAATCTGCAGAGCCGGTTGGCAGACTGGAGACTAGAGAATATCCAATGTTGCAGTTCAAGTCTGAAGGCTATCTGCTAGTAGAATTTTTTCTTGCTTAGAAGAGGTAAGATTTTTGCTGTATTCAGGCCTCCATCTGATGGGATGAGGCCCACCCACATCATAGAGGGCAATCTGCTTTTCTCAAAGTCCACCAATTTAAATGTTGATCCCATCCAAAAACACCCTTGCAGGAACATGCAGAATAATGTTGAGATACTTGAACAATGTGGCCCAGCCAAGTTGACACATAAAGTCACCATCACATTTACACTAAAAAATTATTCATTGTTTATCTGGAATTCAAATTTGACTGAGTATATTCTGTTTTTTCTGACAGTCCTACTCACGGAGGACTCTGTGTTGAACCAAGGTGCTTCATGCAACAGCCCCAGCTGAGCTCCCAGCAGATGCCAGCACCATTCGCCATCCATGTGAGTGAGCTCTCTTGGATGTCCCAGGCAAGTGTAGCGTGCTGATGACTGCAGCCCCAGGTGACAGACACCACATAGAATAGAAAACACCCAGCAAAGCCCAGTCAATTCATAGAATCCTGAGAGATAATAAATAGCTATTGTTTGGGGACATTTTGTTAAGCACAAGTGGTTATCTAAAACCTTATGGTTTTGGTGACCTTTTCTTCATTTTCTGTGATCTGCTCTCAGATCACAGATCGTGAAGGCTCGGGGGGGCTTTGTTATAATTTTGACTATAGTCTATGTGTTAGTTTATGTGTGGGTATATATTTCTGAACATACCATTAATTCCTTTTTGATGGGATTTTCAAGGGAGGTTTTCATAAAATATGCTTTTCTACCTATTCTTGCAATTTAGAACATAATTCCAATCTCTCTCTCTATAGGATAAGCCTCCGATGCAATCACTTGTGTTAAGAAATTGAGAGAATGTTGATATAAACTGTTCCCTGAGCCATATGGAAAGCTGTATCTTCTGCAGGTTGCTTGGTGAGTATACAAGGAGTACAAGGTGTATTTATTGACTTTGAGAAGTGTTTCTCTAAGAAGGTGTACTGAAAGATTTTCTCCTGCTACAGGGATAGCCCTTAAAAAGGAAGTCACTTTCCTTAGGTACACAGACAGGGCTCCTTCAGCAGACAGCAGATAGATATGCAATGCAGACCTTGTTTTCTGTGATGGTCCCAATGTATCACTGGATAAGTCTGTCCAATTCTGGGGTTTGTTCATAGGAAACCTATGTGCCAGCAAATCTATGTCACATTCTCCAGTATCTCCTTTATAAGGAATAAAGTCAATGTATTGTTCTTCTTATTCTTTTGTCGTATTTCTCAGTTGGTGTACAACTCAGACTTGGAGCTGGAGGGCATTTTGGGGGCCCCTTAAAGATCCAAGCATTGCGAAACAAGACTGTAGGAATAGTTGGGGAGCAAGCGACACACAGGAGAGTAGAGCTGTGGACCTATTGTAAGCCCCACCCCTGAGGGCAGAGCAGAACATATACTTGGTTAAGTGAAGGTTACAACCAAGAGTTTTAAAGGGAGAGGACCTGGGCTGTGCAACCTGTTTCTCCTTCCAAACTCACCAATTAGATGGGACATTCCTGTGATAGAGGAGTGAGTGTATCAAGAGGCCAGAAGTGTTTTGGGTATCGATGTCTCTCCACATAGAAGAAAATATTAAGAATGGTGGACAAGCAGTACCTAAGCTGGAGCGGGGTAGAGGCAGGCCAGCACCCACTTCTGACCTCCAGTGCCGCCGGCCTCAAGATCAGACATGGCCCAGAACTTGAAGGACTTGGCGGGACGGCTGTCCGCCGGGCCCCGGGGCATGGGCACAGCACTGAAGCTGTTGCTGGGGACCAGCGCCATGGCCTATGGTGTCCGTGAATCCGTGTTCACTGTGGAAGGTGGGCACAGAGCCATCTTCTTCGATTGGATCGGTGGAGTGCAGCAGGACACTATCCTGGTCGAGGGCCTTCACTTCAGGATCCCCTGGTTCCAGTACCCCATTATCTATGACATTCAGGCCAGATCTCGAAAAATCTCCTTCCCTATAGGCTCCAAAGACCTACAGATGGTGAATATCTCCCTGCAAGTGCTGTGTCGACCCAATGCTCAGGAGCTTCCTAGCATGTACCAGCGCCTAGAACTGAACTACGAGGAATGAGTGTTGCTGTCCATTGTCAACGAGGTGCTCAAGAGTGTGGTGGCCAAGTTCAATGCCTCACAGCTGATCACCCAGCGGGCCCGGGTATCCCTGTTGATCCGCCGGGAGCTGACAGAGAGGGCCAAGGACTTCAGCCTTATCCTGGATGATGTGGCCATCACAGAGCTGAGCTGTAGCAGAGAGTACACAGCTGCTGTAGAAGCCAAACAAGTGGCCCAGCAGGAGGCCCATCAGGCCCAATTCTTGGTAGAAAAAGCGAAGCAGGAACAGCGGCAGAAAATTGTGCAGGCCGAGGGTGAGGCTGAGGCTGCCAAGATGCTTGGAGAAGCACTGAGCAAGAACCCTGGCTACATCAAACTTCGTAAGATCCGAGCAGCCCAGAACATCTCCAAGACGATCGCCACATCACAAAATCATATTTATCTCACGGCTGACAACCTCCTGCTGAACCTACAGGATGAAAGTTTCACCAGAGGAAGTGATAGCCTCATCAAGGGTAAGAAATGAGCCTTGTCACCAAGAACTCCACCCCCAGAGGAAGTGGATCTGCTTCTCCAGTTTTTGAGGAGCCAGCCAGGGGTCCAGCACAGCCCTACCCCACCCCAGTATCATGTGATGGTCCCCCACACCGGTCCCCTGAACCCCTCTTGGATTAAGGAAGACTGAAGACCAGCCCGTTTTCTGGGGAATTACTTTCCTCCTCCCTGTGTTAACTGGGGCTGTTGGGACAGTGTGTGATTTCTCAGTGATTCCCTACAGTGTTGTTCCCTCCCTCAAGGCTGGGAGGAGATAACCACCAACCCAGGAATTCTCAATAAATTTTTATTACTAAAAAAAAAAAAAGAATGGTGGATAAGAATTCCCCAAAATGAGCCAATGTATGTTTCAGTTGACTAGATTTCTGCCTACTAAATGATTACATTATTATAGGCCTGCCACCCTGAAATAACTGAGATATCTTAAATGACATTTCTTGGTGTTCCTACATCATTTACACACATGATTATAGACAGTCTCTTAGTCTTCTGCCACAGATAGCTAACTGCTTAGCATGTTGTGTAAGTTTTACACATCATCCTCAGAGGGTTAGCTCATCACCAGGAGCCCTAGGATACCTCCCTGCGTCTCTGTGTAGTGATGGTACTCAACTACTGTCACTTTTAAAGCAGGCAATATTCCTGCCGATGGGGAGATGCTTTGTTTCACCAAGCTGGGCAGAATTCCACAAATCGCCCTTGTCTGAGGCTAGTTCCTCTAATTAGTAAGCTTTCTCAGGAGGTGGCCTGAAGAGTGGAAGAGTGAAGGTTTTTTTTTTTTTTTTTGAGGAAGGCAAGGGGACAGAGGGCTGTGCAGAAGCATTTCTGATGTGGAGGACAAGGCTGAGCACCACGGTTGCCACAGAAACCAGCAGTCATTACTGTGACCTTGATGACTTTTTAATAGAAACCCCTGTGGGCTGGAGAGAATAGCAGGGTCCCACCTTCAGGTGTTTGGAACTCAGTTGAGGGTGTGAGTGTCCCACAGTGGGAGCTGAAGTGCCTTGGGATGTGGGGAGACGAAGGAATCCCAGATCTAAGTCCCCTTACTCCCACTTTGAAACAAGTTGCTCTCACTGTTTTATGAGGGAGAGAGCTGGGACCCTTCTGGCCCCAGTGAGTGGGGTGTCCTGCTCCTGGTGTTCCGGAGCTACTTTCTATGTAAAGGTGGGATGTGGGAGGATGAGACAGGTAAGGACTCTCTGAGCCTAGCATCCCCTCTGTAAAATGGGGATAATTATGCTCACCCACAGGATTGCTGCAAGCTGCAGTGATAACACAGGTGCAAGCCCATAGCCCTGTGGTTACTGCACGATTAGGAATGCCTGTGTGAATTCAGGCCTCTTCTTAGTCCTTTACAGATTTGTTGTTAGGAGATAGATGAGGAAAGGAGAAGAAAAGGCCCTGGTGAGAAACCCATTGTATCTTCTGGTTGTAATGATCACTACCCAATTGTATCAGTGTCCCTGGTCACTGACCCAGTGCCTAGCATGGTTCCTGGCACACTGTTACTCTAAGAAAGCACAGGGATTGCTGGATTCTCTCTGTCCCTCTGCAGATCTTAATCAGGTTATTGAACTCATAACAGGTGTATGAAGGAGATGGGCTTTGAGGATCTGGGTCTTGATGGCTGCTGAAGCTTCTGCTTCAGATTTGAAGGGCAGCAGTCCTAAGGACACCCCCAAGACTTCCATCCCTGGTGGGATATGATGCCTGGCACAAGTGAGTTAATAGATCCTAACAAAAGCATGTTGTGGAATAGCTCTGTGAGGATTATAAAATCGTCTAAAAGTAGAGAAACTCCTTTGATCCCATCTTTGGAGAAGAGGTTTAGCAGGTGGAATTTCCTTCCATCAGCAGCTATGTGCTTTGTAGCGGCCCTTGAGGCCAATGTTAAAAATGCCTTTTGTTGTCACAAAGCAATGAATAACTCATTTGGGGAAGCAACTTGATGTTTAACATGTATTTGAAATAAATTTACATGTTTTCTGCCTGTATAAATAATCATCGGTGATTCCCATGTATCTCTCAGATGGGCGTTGAAATACACAGTAGGTCAGAAGGTCTTCCAAGCAACTGGAGATTGTAATATGCATTTTTCAGTGGTAACCACATTATTATCCATTCTATAATAAATTTTTTAAGAAGGCAGAAATGTACAAAGTATTAATTAAAACTGTCAAAATGTCAGATACAAAAGTTCCATAGTTTGAAAAATAATAATTTCCATATAATTTGCTGTATTACAATGATACCCAGCCATGTCCCCTAAAATAACCAGCTAGGCCTAAATATTATTATCATTGTTTCCCAGGACATAAGATTTTCAGTTCTGTACTACTAGGACTCTCTATCCCTCCTATTGCCCTGCCCCCAGACAAACACAATACTTTGTCACTATAGATTAAGTTTTACATCCTAGACATTTATTTAAATGGAATCATAGAAATGATTTTCTGTTTGTGTTTGATTTGTGGTTTGGCTTCTTTCATTCACCAATTTATTTTTAGATGTATCCATTTTGTTGCACATATCAATAGTTCATTCATTTTCCTGCTGAATAGTATTCCAGTATATGGCTATATCATAATTTTTTATCCATTCACCTGTTGTTGGATATTTGAATTATTTCCAATTTGGATCTCTTGTAAACAAAGCTGTTATGAATATTTGTGAATAAGTCTTTCCATGGAAATAGGCTTTCTTTCTCATTAATAAACACTTACGAGTACAATGGCTGGATCATATGGTAGATGTAAGATTAACATTGTAAGAAACTGCCTGTTTCCAAGTGTTTATACCATTTTTTCGTTGTAGTTTTCATTTACATTTCCCTTACAGTGAGTGATGTTGAGCATCATTTCATGTGCTTACATGACATTTGTATGTCTTCTTTAGTGGGATGTCTATTCAAATCTTTTGCCTGTTTCTTTACTGGTGTGCCTGTTTTCTTCTTACTAAGATTTTCAACATATTCTGGATACAAGTCCCTTATTAGATATATAATTTTCAAACATTTTATCCCAGTCAGTAACTTACATGTCATTTTTTTTCAACCATGTAGTTGGAAAGCTAAAGTTTTTAACTTTGAGAAAGTCCAATTTTTCAATTTCTTTGCTTATAGATTGTAGTTTTGGTGTCTCATCTATGAAATCTTCACCTGACCCATTGTCACAAAGATTTTCTCCTGTTTTTTTTTTTTTTTTCTGCTAGAAGTTTTATAGCTTCAAGTTTTATATCTAGATCTCAGGTCCATTTTGAATAGACTTTTGTATACAGTATGATATCTGGGTCACAGTTTATATTTGTACATGTCAATATTCACTTGTCCCAGCACCATTTGTTGAAACGACAATCCTTTCTCCACTGAATCACCATTGCATCTTTGTCAAAACTCAGTTGTCCATATACTTGTGGGTCTATATCTGGACTCTTTATTCTGTTCCTTTTACCTACTAATCCATCTTGATGCCAATAACACACTGTCTGGATTACTAAGGAGTGTTGAAATCACGTAGTGTTTGTCTTCTAATTTTGTTCTTTATCACAGTTGTACTTCATAGTTGATACGGTTTGGAACTGTGTCCCCACCGAAATTTCATGTCACATTGTAATCCCCAATGTTGGCTATGAGGCCTGGTGGGAGGCGATTGGGTCGTGGGGGTGGATTTCCCCCTTTGGTGGTGTTCTCATAATAGAATTCTCATAAGATCTGGTTGTTTAAAAGTGTGTAGCACCTTCCCTGCCATGTAAAACATCTGCTCCTGCTTTACCTTTCGCCATGAGTTAAGCTCCCTGAGACCTCTCCAGAAGCAGATGCCACTATGGTTCCTATACAGCCTGCAGAACTATGAGCCACGAAAACCCCTTTTTAAAAAAATAAATGACCCAGTTTCATGTGTTTGTTTTTAGCAATATGGGAACAGACTAATACAGTAGTCTAGGTCTTTTACGTGTCCATATGAATGTTAGAATCAGCCTGTCAGTTTCTTTAAAATAATTTTTTATAGGATTTCTATTTGAATTGCTCTGAATCTATAGATCAGTTTTGGAAGAATTGACATCTTAACAATACTGAATCTTCTCAGTATTGTTTGTGACCCATGAACATGGTATGTCCTCCACTTATTTAGGTCTTCTTTAATTCTCTCAGCAATGATGTGTGGTGTTCAGTGTACAGGCACTGCACATCTGTGGACAGATTATTCATAAATATTGCATACTTTTGATGATGTCATACATGGATTTATTTGTTAAACACAATTGCTAATTACTATATTTTCACAGTACTATCAGCAACCAAGTGTTTAACATCAGTGAGGGATTTTTTTGGTTGAAAGTACAGCTTACTCTAGGATGGAAAATGTATCCTTAATCTGTGTTTACCTGTATTTCCGTATCTGCTTTTACAAGTCATTGGCGATATATTGAAACGATGGAAGAAAATGTTCCAGAGATAATTCTACAGGTTATCTTCAGAAATCACACTAAAAGAACATAGTTTAGTAGCTTTCAACTTTATATGTGTGGTCAGAAATGATTTTGTTGCAATGTGTGGCTCAGGCTGGAGTGCAGTGGTGCACTCATAGCTCACTGCAGCCTTGAACTCCGGGGCTCAAGCAATTCTCCCACCTCAGCCTCCTGAGTAACTCACTACAGGTGTGTGCCACCATGCTCAGCTAAACTTAAAAACATTTTTCAGAGGCAACATTTTGCTATGTTGTTCAGACTTCTCTCACACTCCTGACCTCAAGCAATCCTCTTACCTCAGCCATCTGAGTAGCTGGGATTATAGGCACAAGCCACCATGCCTGGCTAGATTTACTTCTTTACCCACCAGTAAATCAACCTCAATAAATTCCTGGGATTTGGAGTGGTGAGAGGGTGAGCAAGCATGTATGTATGTGAGTATGTATACATTTGTATGTCACTGAAGCTGTCAGGAATTTTTATTGTAAGGACTACTTGAGGTTAATTACTGTGCATTATGTCAATCCTATTTAGTTCCTGGTACATATTAGGAACAAGCTCGGGGTAGTGGTGTTTGTTTTTTCTCAGCTTTCCTTGACCAGAATGGTTACCATGGTGACTCAGTGACTGCTGTGTGATTTGGTGCAGACTGAGCATCCATTTAGGATTCTTGCCCAAATCTCTCATACCACATTGCCTGTCCATCAGATATAGTATTCGCTTTTCATCTTATGTGTAGTTAATCACTTTTCAAGGGCTCAGAAGAAAGTTGCTTCACTTATCTGAGGTTAAGCTACAGATAACATAAAAAGACACTAAGTACCTTG